GAGGAGTACGACGCGCACGCCAAGCTGGTGCGCGCCGAGTACTCCAAGCTGACTCACCACAACTACGTGGAGCTGCGCATCAAGGTACATATTTTTTGAACCTCTTTAGTCATATGTAACTTTCTAATTTCTCAATATGTTAGGTTAATCAATTCGGTGTGTACTTGTGCAGGTGTTGAACCAGTTCTCGCAGATCCCCAAGTTGTTCCACACGGAGGAGTTCGAGTGTTTCGAGGCGGCGGCGCGCGAGAACATCGAGCGAGAGATCTGCACTCTGCGCGAACACCTGCTCACAGGCAGGGCGGACTAGACGCCCGGCACCTGCGCCGGCACCTCCCGCAGCACCTGCCGCGGCGCCTCCCTGCACCTGCGCCGGCAACAGCACCTATGCCCAGTAATCTAGACCTGCAGAACTGCAGGTGTAAGGGCGGTGCCAATTTGTACTCAGTATTGTAATGACATTATCATTTTTAAACCCATGTTCGTGATATATATTTACAAAATGCCTGTCATTACCTATTTATTGATTCTTAGCCATTTTATATTAGTTAAGGCTATATATTTTTATGATATTTACGTATTCTTAGCATTTATTTTTAATAGATATTCGTTTTAATTATTTATTGCATTAGATTTTATTATTGTAAAAATTGCCAGTTGTTTTAAAGCTATTTTAGATTATAAGTTTTGATCTATATTATCACAGTATTTGACATTTTGTATATAAGGATAAGGCGACATATTGAATATGACAATTAATTTTAATTATTTATTTCATTTAAATGTAAAAGTTTCTTAAAGAAACTATATACAAGTAATATTTAGGTAATAATAATTAGCAGTTGCGTGTTATAGTTCTTATTTCAACTTTTATTAAATTCTATTTGAAATAAAAGTAGCACTTTGATTTATTTCGCTTTAAAGATAAAATTTTCAATACTTACGTTTTTATACGCGTTTTTCCTTCAGAAATATATCTGCATGAAATTATAAAGCTATCTTTTAGTAATAGTATTGAGTACTAATCGTGCTTAGTATTTTCTCTCTTACGTGTATTAATTTATTCTTAAATTTAAACAAAATACTAGTGTAAGAACTTTAAATTATATACAATAGTATGTACTTAGGTGTTTTAGAATGTGGAAAATAAAGAAAAGCATTTCAAATTATGATTTTAATTTCAAACATGTCATCAATAAAACTATTTGCCACACACAAAATATCCTCTAGATCCCTGAGCGAGATTTCTACTGCGCCCTTCCCTAACGCCGGTACTGTACGTTGCTACTAGTGGTTTAAAAAAATAACATTTTACTGGTAAAATAAATTTATGTGAAAAAACAACTGCATTTTATAAACTACGTTTTCTGGGGACTGTAATAAATGAGAACAGAATGTAATTAATGAAATGGCGTTTTATTCAGAATAGCTTACAAAAACGTAAAAAAAGGTATACAGAGTTAGACAATTTTTTTTTTAACAGCTTTCTGTTTACCAGTCGGCAAAGGCCTCCTCCAACATATTTATTACTCTGGTTTATTCTTGTATTATTTAGTTAATTTCGGTTTCAGTTTTTTTTTAATGAGAACAGAATAAAGCAATTTTAATTATTTGTCTTCCTTCAAATTATTAAAACGTGAAAATAAATCATAGAGAATAAGTACTACGTACAACAGGATTTTGTTCTATCTGTAAATCTTGCGGTTAAAATAAAGAAAATAATACCTTATGCTAAGGGCGTAAGAGTCTTGTTGCACGCAAAACAAAACTGAAACGAGCGAAAGGGGTGCAAGTGTCCGATATTTCCCTTTCTAACAGTGACTTAGTGTTGCCAGATATCAATCCTTTCGTTGTTTGTAGAAAAATAGGCAATTTATATCATGCTATGCTATCATCAATATTATATCATGTAATGCAGTAAAAATATTTACTTTTAAAATAATTCTAAATATTAACAATAATTTATTACCGACACATTAAATGTTATTTGTTGCTACGTGTAAAACTTTAGCCTTGTTTTAAATTCGTACACCTGAACTGATAACCCCATATGACATCCCGGCTCGGACGTTAAAGGCGGAGTTTTTTTTGATTTCGTGATATTTTTGAAGATTTTTTGTTAAAATGAGAAGACTTTGAGTCGTGAAGGCTTGCCGAAGCGAGTTTTATGCTGATTGTGGTTTATACGTTCACAGGTAATAGTTTTAAATATAATTTGTTGGTGAAGTATTACGATGACCATGCATGATTATCAAATTCTTGTTTAAGAACTAATAACTTGAAACACTTATGCATTTATTTCTATCTTTCTCTATTAAAATAACTTTATTTTAATTTCAAATTCAAGATATAAGAAATAAAATAGGTTTGTGGCATAAACTTCACAAGACTTATTTAGCAATGTCTGATTTAGAATTATGTATTTTTTATTGTTTTAAGCAAATACATTAATGATAACATTAATACGTTAAAATCCATCTGAAGCAATAATCAGCTGACTTCAGACAACAAAAAAAGGCTTTTTATAATACTTGTCCTAAAATTATATTTTAACATAGTTACCATCGCCAGAGAGAGATAGAACGGACAGTTATTGAGGTCTCGCTTAGCGTCAATTTTTCGACAACAACTCAACTCAACTTGTCTCTATTCTATTCTATTTCTTGTTTATGGCTCTCCCACAGCGGATTGGGCCAGTGTCAACAAGTGTTTGTGGTTTTATTCTAATTTGGGAGAAACTGACAACAAAACTTTTTTGTCTCACTTCAAATTATTAAGACGTGGAAAAAAAATGCTGTCAAATAAAACCATAGATACAGAATATACTCTGTGTAGTTAACGTTAATCTGGAAGCATATTTTTAATCTATACTTACAATTGATTAAGAAAAGAAAAATGGCGTGTTTGTCTTTCCTTTTAAATCTTTGATAAAACATTGTATTAAAACTAGATTGCATAGAAAGGAATAATAATCGTGGAATAAATTTATCCAAGCGTTAAATTTTTATGCGACAGATCTGTGTAAAGGATCACAAGTACATTGAATCCGAGTGTCTTACAGCAGGTAAACAGTATATAGGAAGAGAAAGGTTCATTGTTCAACGGGTTTGCCGCATTCCATCGAGGACGGATCTTCTACATCGGGTATGTGAGTATATCTGTTTCACGATGCGGATGATGTTCGCAGGCGAGCGATGTCGTGGCGCAGGGACGAGCGCAGCTCCCGCTGGGGTGAGCACGACGTTCGCTGGGAGCAGCGGCGCAGCGCGAGCCCGCGGCACTCGCCCCAGAGGGATCGCCACCGCGATCGTGAGCGCGAGCGCGACCGCGACCGCGAACGCCGCGACCGCTACGAGCGCGACGCGGACCGCTTTCGAGGCCGCGAGCGCTTCGACAAGCGCGACCGCGAGCGGCGCCGCTCGCCGCTGAAGCGCTACGACGACCGTGACGTTCCGGCCCCGCCTTCGCCGCCTAGGATCAGCGATGATAAAGAAACTACACCGAATCACGATTCGGAATCCAACAGCCCTTCTGCGAGCACCCGACACGAATACAACTCCGAGGGTGGCGACAATAAATGTGACAAAACGGAAGACGGGCAAAGCCCAAATGGCTCCGCCGGAGATTGGTTCTGTAAATGCGGTTCGTACAATTTTAAACGTCGTCAGGTCTGCTATCGCCGCAACTGCCAAGGGAAACGTACAGAAGGTACCATCCTGGGCGTCGACACTGAAAGGGGGAATGGCTCCGATCCCAACTCGGGGATAACAAAGAGACTTCTCTTCAGGCGTTTAGATGCTTTGACAACAGAGGAAAAGATTTTGGAAGTACTAAAAGAGAGGTGCTCAATACAAGTGATAGATTCTATTGCAGGTATTACAATAGGGCGTGAAACATTGACAGGGGCATCGAAATGTCTCGCTTATATCAATTTTAATTCTATTTCTGAGTCAACAGCTGCTCACATGGAGCTGATGTCTTTAAATCCACCTCTTGACATAGATGGTAAAGAAGTCCTAATAAGTTTTTATAATGAGCCTCCTAAATTACAAAAATCTGTTCCAACCACTACAGCAGACTATTCATCTTATTATGCACAAATGGCAAACTACAGCACACCTTCATCAGCAGCACTCTCTGAAGCCGACAGAGTCAATGCTGCAGCAGCAGTTGCCCAGTCCGCCATCAATGCAGCACAAGCCCGGCAAATGTCCTGGGTGCCCGTTTCTGCACCTGTGTTTGTTTCTTCCAACTCCAAAATGAATGCTGCAACTAAAATTCCTACAGGTGATGGAAAAACTGTGTTTACTGCACCAGATGTTAGGACATTTATGTATGATGAAACATCTGGATATTATTACGACCCTGCCACAGGCTTGTACTATGATGGTGCAACTCAGTACTTTTACAACAGTCAGCTCAGTTTGTACATGTATTGGGATGCAACATCCTCCACATACATAGCGGCCACCCAAGCCCACCAGAACACAGACCAGCCAAAACTGCCCAGTCCACCGGAAGCCACCACAGAAAATACTATTATAAAGGAACCGGAGGAAAAGAAAAAGAAAGATAAGGAAGATAAAGTAAAGGTGGCTAAAAAGATTGCTAAAGATATGGAAAGATGGGCGAGAACTTTAAATCAAAAGAAAGAAAATGCTAGAAGCAATTTTGTAATGGAACAACCGTTGGATACTGGAGCCAGTAAAGGTTCAGCCGATATAGGCTTCTCTGTA